TGCTCTTTGTATCTGACTATACAACATAGTTTAACAGGCACTCAAGCCACGTTGGGGGCCGTTGAAAAGGATCGAGCAACAGAGTGACCAGTGCGTTGGTCTTTGGGGGCCGTGCAGGACTTTTCATTCCATGATGCATCAAGCAATGAAACATGATGTGTCATCTTAAGGAGATAAATGACTCACTCAGGATCTCTCAGACTCTGTACAATAGACGGCGTAGACAAAGTTCAAAATAGTAAGCTAATTTGCGGTGAAATCACCGCAAGTGGGTATTGGCAAATGACAAAGAAATATAATATACCCTGACATGAACATGTTTGCAATATTGAAATCAGACCAAACATGGATATGCATGGTCATCTCCATTGGGGACAAGAGAGATGACATGAGACGCAGTTGAAATCCAAAGAGAAGGCATATTAGAGTTGATCTTAGCGAGAGAGATGTTTAATATCGACTGCCCATTGGTGAGCAATCTTCCGGTGATCGACGGAGACGTCGATCTGAGCTCTCTTTGCAGGTTTCTTTTTTTTTTCTCCCTTTTTTCCGTGCAAGCGAGGAGCGATCTATTTCTTTTTTGGTCGCATCGTCCGATCCAAGCATGGATGAGAATCCTTTTCATCGATTCCAGGCAGCCCCCCGGAACTAAGACGGAGTAAAATCAAGATAAACGTTCTTTGACCTCTTTGACCTCTTTGACCGCGAAATTCGTCCACTGCGGCTCCCGTTTTGGCCCCCATATGCAGGATCGGCCACTCCGTGTCTGTGCACGGGATCTTAAAGATATCTTGGATGATGGTGTACAATATAGAGAGTACGGAGTATACATATTCAGATTGTAAAGATCAACGTCCCTTGCTCATCTTGCTCATGACTACACTCCTTCTCTGCTACGTGAAGGTGATCCCGAGGTTGGCGGGTAAATTGGATAAATTGGGTATCGCAGAATAAATTAATCCCCGAGAACTTCATTAGGCAAGGACGTTCACTTGACCGCTGCTTTGCATGACTTCAGATGGCCCACTAGGGATCGCCCTGGCGGCCACCTTCCTCATAGTCTGAATGGCCCGTTTGAAGTTGGTCGTGTCGTAATCATCCGGCATATGCTCTCCACTGTAGATACATAGTACACGCATACCGGGCTTGTAAGACAGTTGTTCGAGCAGCTTGGGTGTAATGAGGAAATACTGGCCGCCTCCACCGCCGCCGATGGGGTTGCCATTCTCATCGGTTTCCTCGGTATCGCCCTCACAGGCAATGTCGACCAGGCGCCCGTGAACCATTCGCTCGTTTCGCGGGTCCATACCTTGATTGATCTCATCGACGACGCGGAAGGGAGAGGCGGAGAGTGATTGAAGCGCCATAAGATAGAAGATGGTACTCACGGCTCGTTCACCGCCAGACTGGCGATGTGAATCCAAGACCGAAAGTCCCGCGCCCTCACGGAACTGGACGTGAATCACGATGGACCACTCTCCAAATTCGCTAGGACCGGGCTCACCATTGGGCCCAGCTTCACCTTCCGCTTTGCCCAAGGTGACCTGGCCAGCACATCCGATGCGACGGAAAGAATCCGAAAAGGCATCACTGATCTTCTCAATGAGTGCTTCCAACTTGGGCTCCCAGTCCTTGCGGATGTCCGCGATAGCGTTGCCAAGTTCCGTGAGCTTGTCTAGGAAATCCGCGAGTTTGGAGCGCAACTTCTCGATGGCCTTTTCACGGTCTTCGAACTCCTTGATCATGTGGCTACTACCACCATGGGTGAGCTCCAGTCGGGCCTTTTCAGAGTCAATGTCAGCTTCGAGTTTATCCATGTCATGATCATTTAGCTCTTCAAGTAGAGCTTCCGCGTCGGGTTGGTCTTGCAATTCTCGGCTGATTTGCTGAGCTTTTTGCAAGACTGATCTGGCCTTCACTTTGGATTCCCTCAATTTAATTGTAGCTTCCTGCGCCTCTCGTCTCTTTGCCTCTAGTAACTTCGTACTATCAATGTTGCGATGCCGCAGGGTCTGAAGATCAGAAGTCGCCTCCAAGAATAAGACCTCGACTTTCATGAGCTCCTCATGAGATTGGCGGAACAATTCAACAGCATCCTACATCACGTCAGATAAACTAGACATACAAATCAGTGGCGAACTTACGGCATATTCGACAGCGGCCTCAGCCTTTTGAATTGCAATCTCGTCTTGTTGGTTGCGGAACCCAAGAACTCTCTCCCGTACCCCTTGGAACATCGATGTAATGGTCTCAAGTTTCGCCTCTTGTTGCGCTGCAAGTTGTTAGACAAGTGACGGCAAAAGAATAAGAAATGCAACATACAGATCTTCTCTGGGATTGCTCGGTACTGAGTGTGAGCTGTCTGTTTTGCGCTCTTTTCGTTCTCAATATCTTTCTGCAGTAGAAGTTAGTACGTGGTGCGATAGAGCAAGGAAAATGTGCAAAGTACCATGTCTCGCTCGACCTGCCCATACTCTTCGCGTATCTTTAATACGGCATCCCTCTCGGATTCAAGCTTTTCCTTGATGTCCTGCAACTGTTCATTCCATAACATGATATTCTGTTGGTGTTCGCGTTTAAGAGAAGCATCAACAGGCTGTTCGGTCCACACCTGAGCACGCTTGATCTCTCGAACCCGGGTTGATGTGGCGCCAGGCCCATACTCCCTACGCCGATTCACTTGATAGCTTGTTTTTCCAGACACCCAGGTGCTCATCAACCCCTCCTCCAAACGGGCAAACACTTCATTGGAAATTTCATGCAGTCCGATGGGAGTCGAGTGCAGGTTCTTCTCGCTGCACAGCATGGCAATCACAGGATCGGGTCCGGTCAGAAAGTCCCTTGCCCAACCATCGAATCCCAATCCGACAAGTTGATCTTTAGGCATCGGAGGCTTCAAACTATCTAATGACAGCGAGCACGTACGGATGCTAATATCATGGAGCTTCAAAGTTTGGTTGATCGCATGTTGTAAAGTGCGGAAATCATTTCTCGTTTGCACGGTGAACGACGTGAAGTCTGTCTTCTGGAATAACGACTCGACTGCATCGGCATAATTGGGGTCGGTGATTGAGCACGTAACAATTGGAGGGCCGAAGACTTCTTTTTCAAACTTGCTTTGGTTTTCAAGAAGCCATCTATAGGCTTTCAGACTATCATGAGATGATTTTTGCAGCTTTAGTTCTTGTTGGCCAGAGGCCGAGTCCAAGCTGCTTAACTGGGTTTCGGCCTGCTTGATATTCCTTTGCAATTGCTGTTGCTGGTCCTGAAGGGGCTGCCTTCTGTCTTGGATTTCTCTGGCCTTTATCTCAAACTCACGTTTTTGAAGTCGTTTCTCTCTCTGATGTTTGTAATCAGCACGTTGGTTCAAGTAGTTAAGGAAGTAGGGGTTCTTACCAAGGTCTCGTTGTAAAATTCTGGATCGAACTCCACCACATCCTCTTCTTGTTGGCGTCGGAGTCTATTGATAGCCTGTTGAGCGGATGCTCCTTCGGCTTTGTGCCTTGTACCACTCTTTTTCTCGGCCTCAATCCGATCATTGAGATCCTTCATCTTATTCTCGAATTCCTCGATTTTTTGGCTGCGTGCAGAGGCGACCCTGGATGCCTCGTCAACAGAATCCTTACGGGCATCTTTCACCCCGTTCAATTGAGCGATGTAGGCCTCTTTGGCGTTGACTGCACGCAATATGGGCTCGTTTTCTGCTTGGATTCGATGGTATTCTCGCTCGACTTCAGCTTTGGTAACTTTCAGGGCCTCGACAGCATTATGGTGTTCCTTGTACTCCACAATTGGACGGCAACGCTCAAGGATCTCGATTTTCCGCTTGATGCCGGCTCTCTGGCGCATTCTTTCGACATCGGCTCTTTGCATCTCTTGGCGATTCTCCATATTTTCCAGCAACTCCTTGTCGCCACTGTTGTCCATCTCAAGTTTTTTCTGCTCGGCTCTTAGCCTCTTCAGGGCATCATGCCACTGGGTCATTTCTGGACCAGCTGCTGCTCTTTGCGTAGAATGAAGAAGCTCAATCGGTGTAAGTGCAGCAAACTCAGCGACTTTGTCCTGGGGCAGAAACTGGCAAAGATTGTCTACCTGGATGGCAAACGACTGAGCCAGTTTCAGCACATCGTTCTTAGAAGCAGGGGATCCATTGAGCGTAAACGAGCTCTTATTGCCATCGCGCTTTATGGTCCGCTGGATAATAGGATTGGCACGGGTCTTGGGCGGTCCGCATAGTTCAATCTCGATCATCGCCTCTCGGGCCCCGTGCTTTACAAATTCGCCCAGGTCTTTGGCACGTCCAAGATGCTAGATATCAATGAGTGTCAGCATGTGGTGGCTGTGCAGTGTTATGATCCAAATCATACCTGAGGTCCCCATCCCAGGCCCAAGCAGATAGCACAGACCAGGGTGCTTTTGCCCGTTCCATTTGGGCCAATGACCATGTTAAGCTTTGGTCCAGGATAGAACTCTGCCGACGTATAGGTCACGAAGTTCGTCACTTTTATTCGCACGATCGCGCCCGGCTTATAGCCACCGGGGCCAAGGCCATCATGGGCTACCGCACGCGGGGCCTGAGAAACTGCTTCTGGCGTTTCGGATCCAGCGCTGTCCTCATCGCTCTCGTGTTCACTTCCGCTTTCGCTCTCTTCTCCAGTTTCCGATCCGTCATCGCTTTCAGCGGGGTTCAGGCGGGGGCGTTTATTGCTTGAGGGTTCGGTTGGGGGATCAAGCGTCGGGTCTTCGCTTTCTTCATCCTCGCTGTGAGGCCGACGACGAGGAACACTGGGTGACGCCATGGCTGCCGGAACCCTCGAGTAGATGTAGAGGGAGCCTCATGGGCTGTCTGTGAGATTCGCTTTGTCCGGCTTTCTTTGTTCAAGTCAGACGCGAGGGAACGCGTCCGCGATCAATAAAGTCTAGTTTGAGTAGGCGGTGAAAGCCTCGAGATGGCCAATTGGTTGCGACCAAACAGCTTCGACTTTGTATAGCCACTCACCATGCCTCCTCCAAATATCAAGCGGTTGGTATTAACTGCTGCGGTAGTTTCTATCACTATCACTGGCACTCTTTATGGCGCTGGTCTCAAAACAAAGGAAGAAATTGCTGAGGTATGAGCGAATCTATCTAAACCGAAGCTATCCGTTTATCTGCAATCATGTCATTGGATGCCATTCCAGAATTAACAAGTTATGGGATACAGACAGCAAAGCAGCGGCAAGAATCGACCTTTGATGAACAAACCAAGGCCCTCCAGAATATGCGCGCGAACTTGGTCGCCCGGAGAGGTATAATCGAGAACCAGATACGAGACTTGGATGCAAGGGTGTTGGAGAAGCAGCAGAAAGGCATCGGCGGTGGTGATAAAGATCAATCGAGCGGAGGACGATGAGCACTACGAACCCTCTGCCAAACGGAGTCAATGGGCTCACAAGTGCCGTTTAATGAAAACCAACCTACGATACAACCACCACACTTTGATCCGGAAGGGCCAACCACGACTTTCAATTCACAGCAAAGTGGTGGCTATCGACTAGCTTAGGCATGGTTTAAATACCCGCTAGTCACGCAACAAACTTTGCCAGACCAGTTGCACTTGAAGCTGATCTTCGAGTCCTGGGTCCAAGCAATCCAACCATGGCCTGCGCAGTCTGAAAACATTGGACTTGGTCCTAAGTGTGGATTTCCCTTGATGAATTTATCTGCTTGCTACTGAGGCAAGAGTGTTTTCGTGTACATAAATTGAGGTACAAGTCAAATCGGCTTCTATTTCTTCTGTCTATAGACAAACATATATCTTTTTCCTTCCTGCCCGGAGTCGGCAATATGGTCCTGGCCATAAATTCTCTGCGCAAGAGGTAAATATACTTTGGATTTCATCACAGGCGCAGAAGGCGCTGTCCACCCATTGGCTTATAGGCCAGTCGGGGAATCCCAAATGTCTAAGCCTCGAGGTTGAGTCTGTCCAACAAATTGTCCAGCTTCTCAAGCAAGATCTCATAGTTCATCGCGTCTTCCGAGAATTCATCATCGACAACCGCGCCGTCTAGAGTTCGAATCTCTGAGCCTTGACTGAGGATAGCGTCCTTAGAAATATCCAATTTCTGAACCCCTTCTGTAATTTTTATGTCTTCCGGCTGTTCATCTTCATCAAGATCTTCCGGTGGTTCTTTTTCATCCATCATTTCATCCAGACCAGCCTCATCAAATCTCAGTCTAAAGCGCTCCCCAAGATAGAACCGGATATCATCCAGCATTTCAATGGAATCGGTCTCCTGTCGCGCCTTGATACGAGATGCTGATTCCTGAATCAACTCCGCAAATTCTGGGGTATCTATATGTGCTTCCAGTCGATATGCGAGATACCGAGCAGCGAATTCTTCCAATCGCTGCACGCGTGTCAACCACGCAGCTCGAACAATTGAGTAAATGTCAATTTCATCTTCGTGCGCTATACCCCGAGTTCTCGCAGCCTCGGATTGAGACATTCCAGCACTGCCGAGGGTACTGATGACAACGGCGGCTTTTGTCTTCAGCTTCTCAATGAAGAGCATGTCTGCAGCGAATAGGACATCGACAGCGATCTCTAGGGGGAAATCGGCTCTTTCGGTATATAAGAATGTAAGAATTATTTCCAAGACCTCGGGTGAACAGTTGACGTCGATGATCGTCAGATTCTCATTGAGGTAAGCTTCGCGAAAGGTGGATGTAAACATTGCTTGGAAAAACTCAGATCGCAGAAGCATTGCTCGATGGCACGGGAAGATGACTGATTTCGGCGCCTCGGGGTCCTTCTCATTCGGGGTAGAGATAGGGCCAATGGGAATCGAACTAGGTGTGCCATTGCTGACCTCTGGCGTATCAATTTCCACTTCCTCTTCTTCCTCGGGGAGTTCATCCGCCCTCAGAAGAACATCAGCGAAGATTGCATTTGCTCGACCCCACTTCACGTCGTTCACTTTTGAAGTCTCTACCTCGAGCTTGTTCCCCAGAATATTCTTCTGAAACCATTGTTCCATTTGATCTCGGCCTTTGGAAATGTCGTCGGTTCTTCTTTGTCTAGCCCGTCTCCTGTCTCCACTATCGAGGATACTGTCTAGAAGACTGGGGATCTCCAAGTACTTGGAGATTCTATCCATCCCTGCGAAGGTCTCAGACTCCGTGAAGCCTGTCCCCGGTCCACTCCTCAAGTCTGTGGGAGCTTCTCCAAAGTACAGGTATTTGATAGCGGCACCGAATGCCTCGGGGGGAATAGTACCAGGGAGCTTCCATGTTCCAGTTTCCGGTGCCTCGGCCAGCTTGCCATAAAAGTATGGAGAACGTGCCGCGAGTATGAATTTATGAAGATGAATCGATTCGTCGGCTGCAGCCACGACAATATCTGTTGTTACTGGGGACTCCCGGGTGAGAAGCGAAGTTATATGTGCAGCAAGTGGCTGGAGAGGGTCCGTCGATTTGGAAAAGTCATATTCAAGGAGGAGGTTTCGTATCCGGTCGTTCAAGGCATTATAGAGACATCTATATGACCACCATCGTTAATTCTAGTCGCTCTCATTCTGTAGAAAGCCAATTGCTGTTTACCTTTCACCCTGAAATGTGTCTCGCTCACAAATTGCACCAGACTCGAGAAGAAGTTGTACAGCTTCATAATGGCCGCAGAGGCTCGCCTTCCAGGTTCATGGGTTATTATATGGTATGTGGGATTGCAACGGTCGGTGTATCAATATATGGTACTCACCAGGATCAATGGCGTGTAATCATATGGATCACGAGCATTAACATTGACGCCCTCAGTGATTTTCTCCTGACAGACTTTCAAATCGCCCTGACGACATGCGTTGCATAGTTCACGGAATGGCTCACTCAGATCTAAAGGGTTATCATCTTTAATAGTCCCCTCCTTGATCAATTTCTTCTCATTGACTAAGCTGATCTCCAGCTGATCCTTCCGCAGCACAGTTGGCTCATCCATCACGTAGGTTACCAGGCACAACAGGTCGAAGTGGGATGAGACGGCCAACGGCGGGGCGGAGAGCTTATCGATAAGAAGGCACGTGACTAACCAACGATGTTGTCTGAAATTCAGGGGAGTTCTATATTTGTACATAATTTAATATTTAGCACCATGATAGATATCAAGTCGTGGAAGTACAGAAATATATATACATCCAAGTATGCATGCTAATCTCCCACTATGTCGTAATTGAACAGACGTCATTCGGTGTTTTTCCTCCTTCCGACCGTTTGATCGACCTTCTCCACCGCCTGCTAGGTCCGGCAAAGCGCCATAATCACCGTTGCATAGCAACGATCACCCAAACACCCGTCTTCAAAGCTCCAATTCATATTGCCTTGACTCTTCCTCAAATCTTCAATTCTGCAGCTTGACTCTTTTTTTTACTAACACAGGTTCTTGTTCCATACCGTTCATGCATCATTGACTCTCTGATTCTTCTGGATCGTCTTCACGTCTTTGTCCTTAACTCTACAGCAATCTATAGCCATGGCGATTGCTTTGGCTGAGGCCGATAAGTATGAGATTTTGGACAAAATTGGTATGTTCAGCCTTGATGATCCAATTTATATTCAAGATGTTCAAAAACTAATTATATGCTTTCATTCAGGTTGCGGTTCCTTCGGGATCATTCGCAAAGTCAAGCGGAAGTCAGATGGATTCGTAAGTGTAGTGCATTGGTGGCATCTTGCAACCGGGACTAACCCCAACTTGCGTTAATAGATACTTTGCCGCAAGGAAATCAACTACATCAAAATGTCCCAGAAAGAACGCGAACAACTCACTGCCGAGTTCAATATTTTGAGTTCTCTTCGTCACCCAAACATCGTCGCATACTATCACCGAGAACATCTCAAGGCTAGTCAGGATCTGTATCTCTACATGGAGTACTGTGGTGGTGGCGATTTAGGCATGGTCATTAAGAACTTGAAGAAGGCCAATAAGTATGCCGAAGAGGAGTTTGTTTGGCGCATTCTCTCTCAGCTTGTCACTGCTTTGTTCCGGTGTCACTATGGCTCTGATCCCGCCGAAGTCGGATCAAACATTCTAGGCCCGGCTCCCAAGCCATCTGGACTCAAGGGGAAACAAGGACAAGTCACTATCTTGCATCGCGACCTCAAGCCCGAGAACATCTTCCTCGGTAGCGATAACACCGTCAAGCTGGGTGATTTCGGCTTGTCCAAGCAAATGCAATCTCACGACTTTGCATCAACCTATGTTGGCACACCCTTCTACATGTCGCCCGAAATCTGTGCGGCTGAAAAATACACCTTGCGCTCCGACATTTGGGCTGTTGGCTGCATCATGTACGAGCTCTGCCAGAAAGAACCCCCTTTCAATGCTCGCACCCACATTCAACTAGTTCAAAAGATTCGCGAGGGCAAGTTTGCGCCCTTGCCTGATTACTATTCGCCAGAGCTCAAGAACGTTATTGGAAGCTGTTTGCGGGTCAATCCCGATCACCGCCCCGATACATCCGCTCTGATTAATCTTCCTATCATTCGCTTGATGCGTAAGGAGAAAGAGGTTGTTGACCTTGGAAAGACCCTGCGTCGACGTGAGGAGGTTGCAGTTCATAAAGTCCGTGAAATGGAACAGAACCTTGCCAAGAGAGAATTAGAAAAACAACATATCAAGGCTGAGATTGAAAACACTGTTCGACGAGAGTGGGAGGTCAAAGCCCGCTTGGAAATTGATCGTCAGGTGCAAAGTGAACTCGAGCGACTCCGCAAGCGATTCGAATCCGAAGTGCAAGAAAGAGTTGCCATTGAGGTCAAGAAGTACAAGCACAACACTTCCAATGGTAATACCTCCCGTGATGATGTATTTCGCACTAGCACCACCGGATCCGGATCTGGGTCCTCTCGCTCCAGCAATCAAGGCTGGCGGTCTTCTCGGTCTTCGGCCAACATGACAGACGACAACGATACTACGTCCTCATCAACCGCCGATATCAGCCAGCTTTCTCTTGGCTCGCCTCCATCAAATCCCCGGAAGCAGCCCAAGAAAGAGACGCGAACACCATTTTGCCGGTCCAAGACCGTCGTTGATTCACCGGTGGATGTTCAAATGGCTGAGCCATCCCCTATTTCAATTGCTTCGCTTTCCCTGTCACCTCGCCGTACTTCCGCCCAAGGAGGCGCTCGCAACATCTTCGCAGAGGCCGAGCGAAACAAGGCTAAATGGGAGCCCACCCTAGCATACTCCGACGATGAGGATGACACTCCCGATTTGCCCTCACCAACTCGGCCCAAGGTGAAGCCCGACCCATTGAAGGCGCCTCGGCGACCTCTACTTCGTCAGAACACCGCGGCCCTCATGCAAAAACTTAGCAGTCAGCCTTCCCTATTCCCTTCGAGCGGTACTCGCCTTCCTCAATCTACGAGTATATCTGCTTCCCAGTCTGAAGAGCGCAGTGCAAGTGAAAGCAGAGCGAGATCTCCCCACCGCCGTCTTACTAAAATCCCATCGTCTGCCAACCTCGCTGCTGATGCAGGCACGTCACCAACTCGCAAGAGTGGTTCGAAGCAACCTCCCCCTACCAAGAACGGCGGTGGCGGCGAAGAGATGTTCAAGGCTGTTATGCAACGCAACATGGGTGGCCGCACTTTGGTCGAACTCGCACAAGCGAGAGCTGGAGGCCGTCCAATGGATGAAGTTAAGCGTTGCGCCAGTGATTCGCGCGCTGGAGGTCCCACCATGAGCGTGAAATGCTCTGAGCGTGATGCTCCTGCTATCTGGAACCCCGAACTGGATGAGATGCCCAGTCCCTTCCTTGCCCGTGGCAAGAAGGTTATCCGCAACTTGCGGTAGTCTTTCGCTCAGATCAAATTTCCTTTACATTTACTTTGTCGTTTCGGTTTGGTCCTGGTTTGGTTTTTCTTATGGCGCTTGGATGCGTGACTGGAGTTGGTTTTGGTTTGGAGGTTTTCTTTTCTTCCCTGGATTTGGATTTGGATGATTTGGTTTCTTTGGAAACCCTCAGTTCCTCTTATTACCCACCGTTTTCGGGTTTCGCCCTTCGCTTCTTGCGCATACTTTCCCACTATGTCACGGAGTTGGCCCTAATGTTTTCGGTGCATCCTTGCCACATGCAAGGCACGGAGTTTGATACACATGTCTATGGCTCGCCCATGGCTTTTTTGCCTTCGTCGGCTACACACACTTGCCTCCCCGACTCGACTCTTTACTACCTTTCTTTTGTTGTTTATGCCGTCATGCCCCTTTCCTCCAACGAAGGAGATGATCCAGTTTTCTTGTACATTTATTTGCATTAGCCATGCATTGACTGTTGAATTTTTGTATTTTGCCTCTCCTTGAACGTCTAGTTTATTGCTCGCCGTATTCTCGTCCGTCGCAAATATGCTGCTTAGTGGCCATGTTGGACTAATGTTTGCTGTGCTTTCCTTTTGAAAGTACTTCACCCTACTTCTCGTTTGAATAATTTTGCTCGGCCATGTTCTCTACGCCTAGTGCATTTTGGTGTTTCGTGCGATATGTTTGGAGTTCTGGTGCTGCAATACATCAATGTTGGATATACATACCATCCTTCATAAGAGCGAACGTGTTTCATGTCATCCAGACTTGTAGTGGTTGTAAAAGTCCATGCTGACTGCCTAGATGTGCGAGTCGGGTCATCCGCAATGTTAGCCCTAAAACCAATGACCGGTACAGTAAACACCTTTCGGACTACTGGGCAAATGGGTGCACATCCTATTCAAATCTGTAGTATGATACGTGAACGTTCAATGGACCATTTTATTCGAAAAGTCGGGTATTAAGCCCACGCCTCCTCATCTTCAACCTCTTCTATCTGAACCGTCTTACGCTCTTGGTTGAGACGTCGCTCCTCTTCTTGTAACGTCAACATCCAATCCTCCTGCTCCTCCTGCTCCTCCTGTGGCGAATCCCCAGCCCGTGCTTCCGGAGCAGGCCCGGCGTTATACCCAGCTTTCTCAAGCTTATCCATCTCTTCCGGTTCCAACAGCTTCCCCTGCCCCTTGATTGACTGCTGTTTCATCCTAACCGCAGCCGGAACAAACTTCTTGGTTGCCTCCTGTCGCAAATCCCGAATCTGAGGTTTCGCTTCGTAAACAGTCTTGGCCACCGGAACCGCCGTTGGACGAGATGGCAGGGGATGAGGACCGGTGCGTTCAACATTTTGTTCTGAAGGCACATTTCCATCTCGTCTGCGCTGGTGCTGACGCGGGATTGGTGGCGGTGTATCCCGCGGCATGGGTATCCTTCGCACATCCTCATCCGTATCGCTGCTGTCACTATCACGAGGCATTCGTGTTTCATCTGAGCCTCGCCTCCGCTTCCCGAGCACGCCGTCCCCACCACCCCGTCTAGCGCCATCACCATGGTGCCCTCCTCTGCCGCCGTGATCGAACCGGGGTGCCTTGTCGCCAAGGGCTTCACGCGCTTTCAAAACGCCTCGCAAATCCTTCTCCAGTGCTTCAAGGAGCTCCTTATCGCGTGGCCGTAGTTTTTGTCCTGACTCCTCGGCTTCTTTGAAGCTGTTGATCTGACGCTGAATTCGATCTGGGTTGCGGCGCGCCAATTTCTCATTCCGTCGAGCAAGTGCCTCTGCTTTGCCTTTCTTCAACTCTTTTTGTTTATCTTGTTTCCGCTGCGCGGCGGCAGGGTTGATCGAGCGCTCTTTGTCTTTGGCCATGATGTCGTGTTGGTGTTGGTGTTGGGATCGATGTGTGTGGGTCGTCTGTAGATATTGGTATGGCGTAATCTAGCTGCGGAATCCGATAAGTTCCACGAGCTCTTGTCGAATCAATTTCGCAAATTAGGCACCGGCAGAAACGTCTGGGCTCTGTGGGCGTCGCACGTGAATGATGTGGTTGGGGACAAGGATTCGAGGCGCAGATTAGAAAGGAAAGCGCGCAATAAGAATGGCTGGTTTCACTGGTTCGCAGAATGACTGGCGATCAGTGCGGCAGGTCGCCCCGACTGGATTGATCGCGTCGGGCCGTCAGGTCGAGACTGCAGGCGTCCGGGGTTGGGATTGGGTGACGCTAACAGGCCGAATGCGAGAAGGTGTATAAAGAAGCGGTGTGTCAAGTAAAATTGCGGGCTACAGTCTCACTAGGCAGCTAATGTTGGGTGTGGTAGTAGAGCGAAAGAAGTTGAAGTTAAAGTACAGAGCGGCGCAGTGACCATGGAAGACTTCCAGGGTTAAGTGGATATTTTTGGCAGGCAGAAAATGAGCTCACTGGTCACATACACAGCTCCATACAAGGCGGAACCCTAGGCGGTGCTCTCAGCTGCCAATCAAAATTAATTCCTGCCTGGTCACTGTCGTTGTCCGTAGCGACACTAAGTGGAGAGTGTATCCATGGTTCAGTACTGGAACTACAACGACATCGTACTTTGTACATCTATATTGATTGATATTCAAACCAATAGAATGGTCATTATTACTGTATATATACATATATATGTATATTATTGAAGTTGCTCTCGATTCTCTTATCTATGGTAGACATACTGCAGAGCCTCTTGATTCTCCCACATCGAGATAGGTGCAGAGCCCAGCATTTAGCCTCGCAGTATGCAATATAAACCTGAATCAAAGTAGTACTTGAAGAATGTGACAAGAGAAAACACCATAAAACATCAAAATAAGACACACCTAATGCACTTGATATTGCTTTTTCTTGATTTTCGACCCATTTTCAAGCCCCTCTTTATGGGGAGGTCCGAGGTGTCATATTTCCGCCTGAGCCTTGTGCTCCAGAACATATAAAAGAGAAATCTCACTAGCCTCTTCGCCAGAGAGTGTAAGTGGCTTCCCTCGAGCCGCGCGCTGTTTAGTTGCCGCCAAACTCACAGCGGCTCACACCTGCTTTCTCCGCCTCTTTTTTTTCCTTTCTGATTTCTCCTCATGAGGGAAAAAAAAGAAGCTTCCCTCCCCTCTTTAGCCGTCAATAGTTGCATGTCCCCGGTTCGACTGCAGTATATCGCAACCGATTATCTCTACACATTCCATCCTCCATCATGACCTGTGGTCCGTTTGGTCTCACATCGAGTTTGATCGGCGCATCGTAGACTGTCGCGGTCGGAGCATGTCTCTGCCGGGACCAAATGTCCGTCTCAGCCTCGATTCCCGACACTTCGCTTGGTCTCACTTCCTCCGAGATCCAGATCCTCCGACAGCAGCAGCAGATTGCCTTGCAAGGCGGCCATCCTGGCAATGGGGTGGCCAGGGGCAGAGGCACCGGAAGAACCAGCAATTCCAGCTCGCGCGCAACCAGCGCTGCCAGCAGCCAGGGCCGTTTGCTGCTCGACCCTATGAGCCTACGCGCATTATCGCACCAGTTGGACGGGTTGCAGGCTCAGATCAGTCACCGGATCGAATATGTATGTTTACCCCTCCCACGGTTCTTGACCGCATGTCCATATCACCGGAAAATCGCAGTTGTATTAACATGAGATATCCTTGCTAGCTCGAAGATCAAATGCAGCGCTCTATACAAAACACCTACGACCGCGCGGGAAACGTCATTCGAAATGCCGATGCCGAAATTGCCCGCACCCGCGAAATCTTGGCCTCCATCGACGAGTTGGACAATGAGCTGGCGAAGATCGCTCATATCCGTGATATCGTCAAGTCATTTCGTGGCCGAATCGAGAACCTAGATCACCGCATTGACCAGAGTTCTCGGCGCCGACGATGATATCTTACCATACACAACCCCTCCAAATACTTCCTTCGAATGCAAACCTATTATATTGAAGCGCTCCAAGAGACCATGTACGGTCATGCGCTCTTCACATCTCACTTTATTCGACCACTGGATGGTCAGACCGATACACATCTATATTCTCTCCACACAAGTACCCAAACCAGAACATATCAAAGCCGACAGAACAAAAGAAAACAAAAAAAACTTATATATCGAATGTGTCCTCACGGACTCTTTTCTTGAATGCGCGTCAGATACGGCATTCATATATGCCACATCTCATTGGTCTGTGTATCTTCTTTATGAAACAATTGGCTGAAAAAGCTGCATGCCGCAAGGCAGCTTTGAGGCGAGACTCCGCTGTTGAGCATGCGACCTCGAAGGACTAAAGTATTTTCGCGACTGCTTGACCTGTGTCGAAGGCGGTCATGGCAACTCGTATTTCACCCGGTACTGGAAATCCATGAAATTTGATGACTATCATGAAGGATTTTTAAATGTTTCAAGCGTATAAACACGACTTGTCTTTATGTCTTCTTGTTTGATTTGATGCTTCTGCTATTTTCCCTATCGTTTCGATTCCCCTCTCTGCATGTTGCGTGTACATTTCTCTGATTTTCTTTTCTTTTCTTTTTTTGCGCTGATATTGGCCCATGTCCAACGCTGGGATGATTACAGCTTGTCTTACGGTGTTCTGAAATATAATTAGGAACAGTTTCTTCAAAACGATTAAATCGTACGTTGCATTGCGTTGGCTCCTCCAATGTTGACTCGAACATTGAAATATCAAGGCCTGTGATTTGAATACCAAGGTCGGCAATGTGGTCGCTGCAGGTCTATTAAGGCTGCTCACCGGCTTTGAGACTTATTCTGGCGATCATGTGGGCATAGTTGCCCTGGTTTGAGGGAAACCCTGGTCATTCTAGCTGAGAGCTCATTGTAAAAGCTGATCAAAAGCGCGGTCAACTGTCTCCGCCAAGGCGCCGTTGTTCATGGTGCTGATATCACAAAAACGAGTACAATGGTGCTGGGGTGCGTCGACCCTGAAAGTGTAACCGCACGGGGTTTTGTGTTCCGCATTACACCACAGAAGGCGCAGTGTGTAAGATTCCACGTAGGGAAGTGACCCCACACGTAGTGGACGAATCTGGCGGGTGCTACTCATGTCACCGGGACATCCCCAGCATCCAACATAGCTACGTCCTCTTCACGTAATTTGACTGCTTCTCTCTGCGAGGCCGCCGAGGTATCAACATTGGGTGCATTCACATTGCGTAACAAGGCCAAATCTTTCTCCTTGCGTCGTTGAACGAGCTTTTTCCCACGTTTCGCCGTCTGGGGGAATCGTTTTTCAGTCCCGCATGACAGGCACTTGACGACCAATACATCGGCCCATGGCTTCTTGCCGCCACGACTTGCATTTCTGGTTTCATGCGAACAAGTCACTCCCGGCGTTAAGAGGGTATCACAGCGCTTGCAAACTGATCTTTTCAATGTGACCGGAAGCCGAATCTGCGTTTTCATTGCAACGGCGCGTAAATGTGATACACATACCCTTGAGAGGTTTCTCAATGGCTCTTGAGTCTCCTTTTGATTGATGGAGCAGACTTTTTGATTGGTATCTACCATATGACCATCTCCCCCTGAGCTGACATGACTAGCAACAGAGTTCTCTTCATTGCCGTGAATTTGGGCGTTCTGACGCTTGGCGAGTGTAGATTTGCCCTGGAAATATGCGGCGGCTTGGTGTAGATAATCCAGCCGTGCTCGAATATGGCTCTGAGAGTTCTTGGGATTCTTAGCTTCCTTCTTGCCTTTGGCTTTTGCCATCTCGAACATTCGACGGATCAACAAGTGGATCTCAAGATTCCAGTTTGCTGCGACCTGCAATTCGAGAAAAGCTTCCCATTGACGCTAGGCCCAAAGCGGTGAGGCTGAATAACCACGTGATAATCCCTTGGTGAGGTCTTCGTCCTACCGCCTTGCGACTTCTTCCCCTGCGCACCTTTGTTATCGAGACCTGCCACCACGGTCCATTATCTTCTCTTACTACCTTTGTCTTCTCTTCATTTCATCTCCCACATCAACCCTCTCTTTTGAAATACTTTTATCTCCTTTCTCCCTCGCTTATTCACGTCGTCATGTCTCACGAGGAGGATCTTATCGACTACTCTGATGAGGAGCTTCAGACCACCACAGCACCGGCCACCACTGCTGCGCCTGCCGCCACCAATGGCGATGCCGACAAGCAGGGCGACTTGACTGTTACCGGTGGCCGTCCCGACAAGAAGGGCAGCTACGTCGGTATCCACTCTACCGGTTTCCGCGACTTCCTGCTGAAGGGTGAACTTCTGCGCGCCATCACCGACTGCGGCTTCGAACATCCATCGGAGGGTTAGTCTAACTCATTATTCCCACAAGCGTTCCTCCATTTCTCCAATCTCCAACGTCCGTCCATCCTCGCGGGAAGATTCTTCTGTCGGTTTTTGGCAATCAGTCGTGTTTCGAATCTGCAGACGACATGAGGATTGTTGCTCCTGAAAATGGACAATATCTCTCACAAGACATATGCGTTTGGTCATGTGCCGCTCTTGCGCTTAAGCCCGAGCCTTCATCCCCCAACTCCCACGTATTTGTGGATATTGGTGCACGCGATAGAAGACTGTGACTGTTATATCTGTCACATTGCCTCATTGTGAGACGCACCTCATGTTGTCTGCAGAATATGATAGGATATCCACAAAAAGCATGTCTTTTGAGTGAGATACAGTCATTGTGGTTTGATCAAGCGTTGAAAGATGACCGCCCGCGCATCAATTTGATGTTGTCGGGGGGATGGACGGATATTGCGAGACGAATCCTTTTCTGCTTCTTATTTCGTCGAACTCAATCTAACATCGGCTCCGCCTTCCAACAGTCCAACAAGTCTGCATTCCTACCTCGATCTTGAACGTCGATGTTCTTTGCCAGGCCAAGTCCGGTCTCGGTAAGACCGCGGTCTTCGTTCTCACCACCCTTCACCAATTGGAGCCCGTTCCTGGCGAGTGCCAGATCCTGGTCATGTGCCACACCCGTGAGCTTGCTTATCAGATCAAGAACGAGTACGCCCGTTTCTCTAAGTACTTGCCCGACGTTAAGACTGCCGTCTTTTACGGTGGTACCCCGATCCAGAAGGACATCGAACTCCTGTCCAACAAGGACACCCACCCCAACATTGTGGTCGCCACTCCCGGTCGTCTGAACGCCCTGGTCCGTGACAAGAAATTGTCCTTGCGCAACGTGAAGGCCTTTGTTCTCGACGAGTGTGACAAGATGCTTGACCAGATCGGTATGTTGATGCAAAATACGACTCGATTGTCACCTACGACTAACACCCTCCCTCAGACATGCGCCGTGACGTCCAGGAAATTTTCCGTGCCACCCCCGCCGATAAGCAGGTCATGATGTTCAGTGCCACCCTCTCCCAGGAGATTCGCCCTATTTGCAAGAAGTTTATGCGCAACCCGCTGGAGGTCTATGTCGATGATGATACCAAGCTCACCCTCCACGGATTGCAGCAGTACTACATCAAGCTCGACGAAAAGGAGAAGAACCGCAAGTTGAATGAGCTTTTGGACAACCTGGAGTTCAACCAGGTGATCATCTTCGTTAAGAGCACCCAGCGTGCCAACGAGCTCGACAAACTGTTGCGCGAGTGCAATTTCCCCAGTATTGCAGTTCACTCCGGTGTCAGCCAGGAGGAGCGGTAAGTTCAACCCACTTTGGCATTGGCCGCAGCAATTTGCTGACCTCCATCTAGTATCAAGCGCTACAAGGAGTTCAAGGAGTTCAACAAGCGCATCTGTGTTGCCACTGATGTCTTCGGCCGTGGTATTGATATCGAGCGCATTAACCTTGCCATCAACTACGATCTTCCCGCCGACGCTGACTCTTACCTGCACCGTGTTGGCCGTGCTGGTCGTTTCGGTACTAAGGGTCTTTCTATCTCCTTTGTCAGCAACGAGGATGACGAGAAGGTTCTTAAGGAGATTGAGAAGCGCTTCGAGGTTGCCCTTCCGTAAGTCTTCTTCCATTCCAAACATTTGACAAAATTCTAACCATCTTCACAGTGAGTACCCCGAGGCCGGTGTTGACTCCACCACCTACATGGCTTAGACACGTCTAGGTGAAAACTCTGTTGATGTGAAATTTCTTTTTCTCTTTCCAATTGTTATGGCGCAATAGCTCGGGTTTTGATATGTTTTTCTCCGCCGTTGGGCGCTACCTCTGCCCTCTGCCCTCCCGTGGGGTTGAGGTGAGGCACAACCCTTCCATGTATTCGAAGCAGCAATGGAAGCAAGAATGGGTTAGCCCTGCACAACTGTTCAACTGTATCCTGACCGTATCTGACGGGAATCTTGGGGCCTCAATGTGGATTTGCGATGTCTTAGTCATCGGCGTCTGCAAGACAACTCAAATCCGAAGACAATCAGATAAAAAATATGCACCGCCCTGCGGGCATGGTTTCAATCAGATGGGGTGAAGACCCTGCCAAGCCAGTCAGAGTGGACAAAGACACCCGAATTCAATCTCCAATCATCTGTGTTCGTCGTGATTTGCCCATATCTGTTGGATCTGGTCTACCTGTAGCTCTAGGATCCCAGGAATAACCTCCCACCATGCAGTGTCCTACAGGCTGAATTTAGTATGTAGTTAGTGGTCGTAGTCCCAATCTGACTTGCACAGCCTTCGTAGCAACTTTCGTCGTCGTCCACGCGATTCTTGTCTCGATGATGCGATTTTTCCTAATTCGACCATGTTGATCTGGGGAAGGTATGTGCTTGGTGAGATACGCTGGCCACTGCTAGAAGCGGTGGCGACAGAACACACACGACAATGTATAGAATATATACATGCTCAATGCTCTTATACAATCCATCGGGAGTAGGTAGCGGCCTAATTCCTTACCGGGATTACTGAAGGCCCTTATACGTATACATTCCAGCACCATCAACAATACATCTTGTAGAGCACTATTGACACAGCGATTTCACTACTGGCACAGCGCTCATTCCCGATCTAGCTCAGTTCCTGGCATCCATTTTGAAGTACGAATGTCATTCACTATGGTATCACCATAGTAAAAAGTACAGCCACTTCAGCCACACAGTGGTCTAAAAAACGTCCAGAAAGCCAACAAGTGTCGATTCGACTCTACATTTCATACAATATTTTGATTCCCTCTACGATTCGACGCCAAAATGGAAGTACGGATGTGCTACGATGATGCTGCCTCGGAAACAAGCGACAGAGTCGCCGATGCCTGGGCAATCTACATTCTCGATCTCGAGATAATCGAGAAGATTGGAAACTTCCTTCTCAAGCACATGCAGGCTAGTGATCCTGTCAAATTTACAATCTGGCAGACAAGCGCTTTTAACACCGCCCTGCAGATGAATGTTGAAAGATCCCACGCTGCTGTCATGCGGTTCCCACTCCCTGGGGCTATGATGTTCCCTGAAGAAGAAGTCCGAAGCGAGGTGGCTACCATGCGATTTATTGGGGATCAAACTACGATTCCGCTTCCTTTTGTCGTTCACTCGGGAGGGAAACAAGAGAGTCCCTCGGAATTGGGTTCTTTTATCATTATGGAGTAGAGTATATCGACCACCATGCAAATATGTTTGAAATCCTCAAGACGCCAAGGCGCCCAAGGGAAAAACGTGTGGCACTGAACCCTGAAATCAGCCAGACCAAATTAGATGCTCTTTGTAGAGAGCTAGCGAGAGTCATTTTTTCGCTCTCTAGCCTATCCAAATACAAGATAGGGTCCCTCTATCAGGTCGATGATTTTACCTGGGAAGTGGTGGACCGACCTCTATCTCTACATATGAACGAGCTTGTAAGACTAGGGACACTACCCCAGTCGAAATAACCGACTATTACGTTCAGTACAACATCCTCCTACTTTGAAGCCCTGGCGGAGCTACATATCTCACACCTTATAAGCCAAAGGAACGATGGTATAGAGTCTGCCGATGATTTTCGGCGCGAATTCGTTGCTAGGTTCCTCTCCCGAGAACTTATTCAAGATCAGAATTTTAGGGCACAATGGATATCATTTGAGAATGGCCCCTTTCCAATCTGGTGTGATGATATTCGGCCAGGGAATGTTCTAGTGGATATTGGCCTCAATATCACTGGGGTTGTGGACTGGGAATTTCCATGCACCGCCTTGGTGGCCTCCTCTTGAGAAGCCAGAATATTGGTCTAAAGGCCTTGATGACTGGTGTATGAGGTATGGGTAACGACTCCAGACCATTCTTAGAGCGCTGAGTGCGAGGAGGAAGCAGTCCGGAACGAACGGCTAGTGGAAAACCAGCGACTATCTGATGCAATGCGAAGGAGTTGGGAGAGTGGAGATTTTTGGATCATGTACGCTGCGAGAGATAATTTCGCCTTCGATGCGATATATTGGCAAGGGATCGACCGGCGGTTCTTTGGGCCAACAGCATATGAGGATGACGATGTTTGCGACGTTTGGAAGGAAAGACTTCATCTCTTAGAGCCCGAGGAGCATGAGTTTATGGAGAAACATGAGGATTTGAAGCTCATGGAGATGGAAGCAAGCAACATTCTAGCGTGGGACCCCGATGAGCACCCCCTGGAATATATAAGATATATGGCGAAGATGAGTGAGCGATCTCGATCGTAGATTGCTGTCGAGGAAATTTTGAAATGGAGTTGACCACAGTCTCGGTCATACATGGGACGATAATGTTCATCTACCGCGTTGGCTTTACGTGAATCTTTCGGGTCTGTTTCATTATATTCGTTATAAACCGGTGTTATTGTTAGGAATTGAAATTGTTAGGACTATAGGGCTCATGTAATTGAGATATTGAATAATCTAGTCCACTTACGTCGGGCGGCTGCTGACCCTCCCATGGCTTCGACCTAGGCTAGGCATCTTAGACTGAGATGTCCTGGCAACGCTGTAGAATCTGTAAATGTCTTTCATCAGGGAATTTTCTAACTGGCCTTGACTATGGTACATGGGACCTGGATAGTCTAGATGGTCCTCTTGGTGGTGTCTGTGATAATAAGTATGTCACTTGCTACAAGGATGACAGAATCAGAAAGAAAAAAAAGAAAGAGAACACAACAAGATGATTATCTGAAATGTTCAAAAAAGATGACTGGGCAACTGTTGTTGCCCGACCGGGGGGTCGAACCCCGAACCTTGTGATTTCAGGTGATGGTATCAGATAAAAGTCACACGCTCTGCCAATTGAGCTAGCCGGGCTGCTTTGTTGAAAGCGTCAAATCTCGTTGGTATACAATGGGCAATGCATATTGAAATTTGTTGTTCTTCTAGAATTAGCACATCAAGTCTAGGTTCCATAAAGAGGCTGCCATTTTTATATATTAAAGACAGGTTAATGGTAGCTATGCACGAGGCATATATTTATGAGTATTCTTTTTTTTTTTCTCCTACGGTTATATGTGTTCTCCTAAGCTGATATCTCCCATACAGCCTGGATATATATATCTGTATCCACATGCTTGCTTAAAAGGCAGAGAGTGACAATGACTGCCGACTTTCGCCCCTGCCATCAATGGAATTTTCTCTAAAAAAACCGTTATAGGATAAGGTGCACAGATAAATGATCGAATCGGCAGTATGAAACTGACATTTTATGATGGTTCTCTCCAGTAACCTACCACAAAGCAGCTCTAAATTTGCTTCATACAGCACCGTACCCCCAAATTAGTATGTTATTGTATAGGACGCCAGAGTAGAGATTAGCGAGTACTGGTCTCCCTAAAAATCAAGGATTTGCCTTAGGATGGCGTTGGTCCCTAAGTGTATACAACGGTAAAGTCCCGGAACATTGAAATGCATTGTCAGTGGAAATTGAAGCTAACACTCGAGATCCCATCGAATATCATCAACCTCCCAGCGAGAAATAGCACCAGAAGCGCTTCACTGCCACTGGTCCTTTGTCCAGTCATTAAGAGATAGCCCCCCACCAGCGACACACAGTTCGAGACCCTTCTCATTCTTCATGCCATGCTAAAACCACCAACAAAGCCAGACGAGAGAAGCTTATGATACTAGATCTGAGGCCGACGATGCTCTAAGTATGAATCCAAGCGTGTAACATTAGAAAATCTGGAAGAGCTCGAGGATGAAGAAATCCAAGCTCAAAAACACACCAGGAAAAAATCAGACGCCTGACGAGCAGCGTGATATACCTGAAAAAAACATCAAAAGTGTATGGGGCTCCCTCGAAATCACCCCAACGAAAGCCCGGACTCGGTCCAGATTCCGTGTGCCGATACCAAGGAGAAGCAGGAAGTCTTAAGCCCTATCGACTTCCACAAACAAAATTACCCTGCTTGGCCGTTGGACTCCCAGGCTCCATCCGTTACTAGGAAGTTCAAGCTCGCCGAACCTACAGACATCTACCAAGGGAAGTTGATTGCTAAATAATTGACAGCTCCAGTTTATAGGCTACCATCTTAAGCGGAAACAATGCAGCGAGAATGACGGTTCCACCTCCCTATTGCCTCAAGAAGATCACACTCACCATAGGGAAGACATCACCAGAGGCATTTTTGCAGATAGCGGAGGCCATTTGAACTCTCTGGCATGTTTAACGGTGCTTTTTTTTTTTTTTTCCAAATGACTGCAGGGCTGGCACGAATGATATCGTCTGGTCCTGGCTCTACATGCGAGGCATAAAACCGTCTCATAACGGTTCAGAAGACCATGAAGAAATTATTCTTCATGAACCTGTCTTTGGGTTACTGGTGGACCCTGTGATGAAGCGCGGAAGTGTGGAGACAGTCAAAGACAGAGAAACAGGGTCCTCCCCAAGCCTTTCCCAACCAGTCAAGAGAAGGACAAAGGATACGGTCCCTGCCGACAGAAAAACAAAAGGTCTCCATTGTTGTTGGTATGAGATGTCTACCTGTAGAGAGGACCCAACCTTGCTAGTGTGAAAAATTTGCAAGGATCACTTTTCCAGTTGTGCTTCTTAGCAGTCAGCACTATCAACCGAGATGCAGGTCTCAAATATCGGACCTGAGGATCTTGAATGAATGCTGGGATTCCGTATTGAATTCTCACTGGAGATACGTGACTTTGGCTCGCTAGCATGCAAGTTCTCCGTTTTTGACTCCAAAGTACTGATATTATGAGCTGTATACACGGAGTGCGGGTATATATCTCCGAGTTAAGGTTAACATACAGCCGTTGACGGTAATACCGAAAGTATAAAGTATAAAAGCACATAAAAGAGGATTGTAAGGTGTAAAATACAGTTACCTAATACATTACCCTAGTCGAATCAAAGTGGCTTAGCTCAGGACACTAGGACTTGGAAAGGCACCGGGTAGCGCATCAAAACAAGGCAGAGAGGATGAAGAGCCTGTAAACCCTGTCTTGGATTTTCAGTGTCCACTAGGGGGCTGTTTCGCTTAGCGTTCTTGTTATGAGTGGCTCTGTGTCAGGGGTCTTGTGCAAATGTGTGCATAGTCTGCAGTTACGTGATTTGAAGATTTATATTAACTAAGCTCCAAGGTACGGAGTACGAAGTGCATACAATATACGAAGTACATATGTTGTACGAAGTACACATGATGGTACAAAGTCCGTACTCCGTACTCCGTACATATGTAGCTGTTTATCTCAACTCCACTAGCCCAATCAACTAGACACAATGAGAAATAGCGTTGAGACATGGTCGATCAGAAATTATGATAGGCCAATGACTGTACACTGATACGATCAATGGAGCATCGAGGCTTAGTAAGTACGGAGTACCTATTTCCCAAGGTTTCTGTACGATTCACAATTCCAATCACAATTTTCTCTCCTTTTTTATTTTACATCCGCGAACTTCCGAGGCTCCGAAAGATGTCGAGAACTGATGGGCTCTAGACTCTATCGACCCTAGGGGCCACTTGGGAGCCACTGTGAGATTAATTTGGTTTCAGCGAGACGAGGCTTGCATTCGAGATTGATTAATATATGGTAAACTGTGGTATTTAATATATACCGAGTGCAATTTCCAGCCCAATTTTGATTCTAGTGTAGGCCCGGGGCGCAGTCATGACATCTGTGGCTTCTCTTAAAGAACATAAATGCAATCATTAGCCTTGGCCAATATAGATTGTGGCTGAGGGAGATTACTTATGCTCTGATATTGAGGATCCGCTGTTTTCGGGTCTCCGCAAACGTGGTTCACGCGTCTTGCCTAGGCAACTGTTGGCACCTAGGTTGAATGTGTATGTGTACACTGTACGGAATAGAATATACCAAAAGGAATGGTATTCAGTTCTATCGATTTCCGGCTCCGATGAACAGCGAAAGAGAGGTGTCAAATGTACTGTCGTGGTTTCACCTGCACAACAGGCCATTATTTGCACATATTTGTACATATTTGTCTTATTTATTATTATTGTGTTGCATGGTGTTGATTTCCCCAGGTCTGGATTGGTACCAAGTGATTGGCCGCTCTTCCATACAGATGTGATTGATCCAGTCCCTAGCAATTTTATGTTGGGCCGTAACAGCACACATTGCAGTTATTGCAGCCATTGCAGCTACTATTATAGCTACAGCTGTCGCTTGCATTTCTCTTTGAGCATGCCAATTGAACCTATTATGTTATCAGATTGAAGAAGAAAATCCCCGATATCCGAAAGATTCTTGGGATCCCTTGCGGTCGCTGCAAACAAACATCAAACATCGGCACGCGCGTCGATCACCTTTTGGTATGCTGGGATTATCAACACCGCCCCCCTTCTAAGGTATGCGGAGGGTCGATCCTAAACATCCCTTGTAATTCCATCAGCCTCCTATCTTATGCAGCTACTGATCTTGCAGTGAAGTACTTTAAACGAGCCTACTCGGTAAAGTATTCCCAAATATCTTCCACTGCCAGGTTTGATATTACTTTTCTTTTCTTTCGTTTCTTTCTTTCTTTTTTTTTTTTTTTTAATAAACGGATGGTCAGGAATATAACATTCTTGACAGTTGAAAAAGAATGTGGTGGGGAAGAGGGGAGCTATTCAACCCCTCTACTCCGTAAATGGCCTATTGTTCCAAGTGGTACAACATGGGCCATTTGCTAGACAGTCCGGTTGTGAATTGGATGTCGATCAGGGATACAAAATTGATGCGTTCATCTGCATGTGTGAGAAGCTCAGGTACCGATCCAGGTACCGTGTACTCTGTACGGAGTACACAGGGATTGGGAGCTGAGGAACCCTTGGAATGATTTCAAGAATGTGCCGTTTGTGCCCAATATCTGATCTTTCAATTATACCGGAAGACTGTACTATATTGCTCAACGTCAGACGCTGAAATGAGGTGGAGGTAGATGACGAGAGAGAACGCGGCATACAACGCGTGGATGAAAATCCCCAGAACCTCCAGAGGGTATATAATACTACGGAGTACTCCGTACAAAGCTCATAATTACAATACTAGGTGGTAATTTAAACCTGGTATCGGAAACGAGTTAATTATAGTATCAAGTATCAACCCAGTATCAGACTATATACCCAACCCTCAACCTCTCTCTAGGTGGCGATATATCTTGCATAAGTTTATACCTTATCTCATCCAAGTGGTCATGTCTAGAGATTCTTGTCGCTATAGAGCAGAATGGCTTGATGTAGACGATGAATCCTACCTCGATA